AAAAGTTTTGTTTTGAAAGCATAGCTTTCTGTAGAAAAGAAATTCCTACCTCTAAAAGCTGCCTTGAGAACTTGGAAATGGCAGTTTTCTGGGGTGATTTCTAAATCACAGTATTAGGAGAGTCCAGAATTTATTGACACAGATTTTACAGTTAGTATCTTTTTTTAATATGATGTGTCTCGTGTACAGAAGCAACTTACAGCACATTGACTCTTGGGCAGCAGAACTCCAGGAACCCAGGTTTGGATTCTTATAGTGTACTTAATTGAAGTAGTTGTACTCTTGGTTCAAGTAGGTTAGTGCCTGGGAGAATCCGTTTCTGAAAAGCATTTAAACATTAAAAAAAAAAAATACCTCTGAAAAGGTAATGAATGCAAAATAGCACAGTGTATAGGAAAGGATATTTCCTGTTGCAAAAAAAAAAAAGCCATAAGATGAACTAATAATTTTCAAGAGGTAGAATTTTAGTAGCAATAACAGTTTTGCATGTATAGTAAGTTGCTTTAGTAAGGTTGTACAGTAGAATACTACTTGAGTTTGTGAGGCTCTGTGATCAACAGAGTTGCACAAAAGGAAAACGATGTTCTAGGTAAAGAGTATATAAAAGGTACTTTCTTTTAAAACTATGAATGTATATGAATATATCATTGTGTGAGAAATAGCAACTTTTGTGTAAGTTAAAGGTTAAAGACCCTGTTTGTTTCCTAGAGTGGAGGGAGGGTTAGAGCCATTGAATGAAACTTCTAGCGCTTAATCTGGAAACAACTGTACTCCTACTGATGTAGCCCCACTGAAGCCCATTGTGTGGGGATTTTGCTTATGATGTTTCTTTTAGCATCAGGCATTGATAAAATGGCATACTTTTTGCTTTGTCACCTTATCTTTCTCAGCTTGTTTCCTGGGTGCATTTTTTTTAAAAGGAAAAGTTTGTTGTGTGTGTATATTTAGGGTTTTAAAAAAAAATCCCAAGAATTTGGATAGCTGGCTTTTCCTCATGCCTGTTACTGTAGAAGAGTTAGGAGTTAAGGGTATAAATTAAAAGGATTGACGGGAACAGCCAAAGAGAGTATGTTGGCATTTTAAACCTTGTCTAATGTAGGTGTGTCAAGGCCTATGGCCTGTGACTGCTTATTTTAATAAGAACCCAGTAAGCTAGTACCTTGATCTGGGTAAAGGACACACAGCTCTCACATCAGGATATAGTAATAGAACGAGGGTGACTTCTCGCTTTTACCTCACGTTCATCTTGGCCACGTTCATCTTGGCCGTCTAGTACCTTGAAGATCCTTCAAAAGATTGGGTCTGTGTTCCCGTGTTTTCCCAGGGGAAAAAAACTGGAAAATGAGTGGATTTAGGAAAATAGTGCCTCTTGAATATTTAATTCTTAGATGGCAACTCCAAAGGATAGGGAGAAGGCTATATTAAATTGATTATAGCTCCTCTTTAAATGTCCTATGCCATTAGTTGGTGTTAGAGACATTGGAATAACCAAGCAATATTCAGACATCTGCACGATCATGAGGACACCGCTGCATATTACAGTGATGTCAACAGTTTAGTTACTTAGAACAATTAGATTACACTTAACAGCCACGTTAATAGTTGTAAATGCTCAAATGTGCTACAAGTTTTTGTAGTCTCAGAGTATGTGGTTGATTATTTTTCAATATTGTTGTGGTCTCATGTTTACTCTTTGTGTACCTGTGATATGCAAAATATGAAGAGACCCTGGGCCTCCAGGAGTTTACATTCTCATGGTGCTGCTGGTGCAAGCAAATTGCTTCTAGTTTATTTAGAACATTGCTTGGCTGTTAATTATATAATATTTGGAAGGGTTCCTTGGCCAACAGTTTTCAAAAGCAGAGGGCTATGCTAAACTTCAGGGCATTGATTTTGAGTTTACATTGTATTAGCTCTGCTGTTCATAAACTCCTTTTCCCCAGGGAGCTGTGCAGGTAATGCTCATTAATGTGAATCAGAAAAGAAACCATTCTGCCTAAGAGCATCTTCACTATCTCTATACCACCTATGCTCTTCTATGCTGTCACTTTCAAATGGCCAAGAAAACTTACTGATCCAGAAGACTGTACATCTCTCAGTTGTTTTTCTTCTCCCAAGTTTTTACATCATTCTCTACCCACAAGGACCAGGATTTGCAATTAAGCCTTTTATAACTGAATAGTGGTCCTAATTTTAACCTTTTTGTGTGTGACTTTTGTATCCTTACTGTGAAGCAGCGTTGTGAGAGATGTGGAGCACCTGCCTGCATTTCTAAGCAACCATTAACCCACATTTTTGGTTGAAACTTTGCATGTGTTCTTGTTATTCCCCCTAATTCCTCTGAGTCAAAGGGTTTATTTACTCTGCATGTTTATTAAAACTGGGTCTGGATGAAAGTATAAGCAATAGTGGCAGGCCCATAGTTCTTATTTTAGAGTACTAATATTCTAATGCATGATTGAAAATGTCCAGTGTTATGTGGTTAGCAGTAATTATATATATGCATTTATTAATAATGAAGCAATAGAGACTTAAACCAATAGCTTGAATTGTTTGGATTCTTAGTTTTCATTTTCTAATTAAAGATTATCTTACTTCCATTGAAATGGGAGCTAGAAGATAAACAGGGGCAACCACAAGACATTCAAACTGTCAGGAATAGAGCATAACTGTGCTCACCCTCTATCCTCTTGCCTGGTTCCATTAGTTCCCAAGCATGTTTAAAAATAAAAGGCGCAGACTAAGCATGTTGAATAAAAAGATGCTATGGCTATAATAATCAGAAAGGTGCAGAGTTTCAGAAAGGATAGGGAATACCAGTGTGGAGTATGTAAAATAACTAGAGATGGTGTTTGTCTGATGTTTATGTGGCTTAAATTTGGATCTCTTGAGACTAGAATCTTGGAAGTGAATAGAGGCAATATGCACTTACTTCACATGTTCCAGGATATTCAGATAACTAGGCAACTTTTTTGATGGTACTGGTATTAACCAGCCATAAAGGGTCCTTCCAGCAAAGGAGACCATTCCATTTTGTGGAAATAGTCCTGAAAATATTGACATACCTGTGGTTTGGTTTCTCTAATGTTACTGGATTATATTTAAAAAAATTTTTTAAATTGTTTATAGCCAGAGTTTTATCCTTGATGTTTTGGTTGGACTGCATAATTTGTTGCTTAAGCTTTTGATGCCAGGTAAACAGGGGCAAGTTTAAGTACAGGTGACATGACAAATAATACACAAATGGAATTCGTTATATCTGAAAAAGGAGCCTAAATAGCAGAGATTCAGATTGGATGATTTTCACTAGGCGCCTTCCAGGTTTCATGTTCTATGATTGAAAAATAATTTTTCCAAAATGATTTCAAACCTCATTTTAATCTTTGCTGTGGAATTTCACTCAGATACCTTTAGGAATGTTTAAGTGGAATGGTACTGTCCAGTAGTTCAGAATTGAGTTAATCATTTCACTCAGTATAGGAAGTGAGATGTCATATCCCATATTTAAAGTTTCTCTTTGGTACTTACTGATAACATGTCTGCTGACCAGTGAAACCAGTAAAGATTTAAGGACAGAGTTTCTCTAAACTCTGTTCCTATTATTCTGGTAAGGCATATTAAAATAGTTAATATTAGAAACCCAGACATCACAGATTTCTCTAGGAACGCATACTCCTAAATTTTCTTTAAAGTCAGAGTAGATAAGGTTACTGACAAATTTCAAAAGGTTTGTCTCTGTTGTTCATGGTATGCCATGCTATAAAATGTCTCCCAGGGATAAGAAAAGTATTCTCGCAATACATTATCATCAGTGCTTAAACAGCAGTAATAGTCTTGGCGCTTACCTTAAAACCACCCATCATTTGTAATTAAAAATATTCATATTAGAGTAACCTTCACATAGTTTCATTAAAGTAATTGTTGCTGTTTTTACTGGCTGTTCAGCATCTTCTTCATTGCACCACTGGTATGAGATGTTAAGAGAATTTCATTGAATGTTTGAAGTTTTTTACAAAAGGCAGCTTGCTTCCTAATCTATGCATCTTTGGGATTTTAGAAGAAATTTTATTCTTTGCTGTAAAAAGGAACTGCTGTAAGAGTTGGGAACTCTGCACCTGTGTAAATATATATATTTTGGCAATAAAGCAGCATGGGCTGAGAATGCACTGAAATTTCACTGTGGTGTTACTTGAATGGGTAATTCTGATAATGCAGTAAGTTATGGAGATGGAGGAAGGAGCCTCTCCGCGGACATGTGCTGAGGTAGGCTTCAAATGAAAAGAAGAAAAGACAAAAGGGCTTGGGTTTCTTGATACCAAGATGTGGCAGTTTCTGGTATAGTCCAAGGGAACAAAGAGGAACCCCATTTAAACTTATACCCTTACACCATTCCTGTTTTACCTTTAGGACCAACCTTATGCTAGGTCTATGAGCAAATGTTTAGTTTCTGCTAAGGAAATAGAGCTAAGTTTGATAATGATACAACTTGCAGAGAATCCTTCCTATATGAAATTTATAAAGTAAATGTAAAAGAAGGCTTTATATTTAGTATTTAAATATTGGGTAAGTTAACTAAAGAGGTTTTTAACATTAAGAAGAGATTCTTTTTGAGTTAGGGGAAAGGAATTTTTTT